GAGAGAGAGAGAGAGAGAGAGGGAATGAATAAATTTTTAATTTTACTATAATATAATTCCATTGAGTATGGTCAGATATTTATGATATTTATAATATATTCAAACTTTTAGAGATATTTAAGAATAATGGAAATATACACTAATTTCTATAGTTTTAAATCGAAAATGACTTATTTTTTTATGGCACATTTCAATAAAAGTCGTGGTCCCCGAGTCTTGCAACTATATACTTTTTTCGAAAATATTAAATAATCGATATCAATCAGTTCAAATATTATTTTATTTGCGGATTTTTATCTCGCTAGTAATGATTATTATCGTTTCAGCTTGCTCCGATGATTTGCAATGATGTAATGTATGTATTATCCGATTGATTTGTTGTATTCCGATACATCACATTCACATTGTTGCGTACGTGAATTCAAGTTATTAATAGTGCGTGTGACGCGGGGACAGAGTTACTGGATATAAATTTAATATGAAAAAGCGTTTCCAATTTCATGCGATCATATCAGTATGAGATCATCATTGTGACCTGACAATTGTGAAAAGTGCGTGCACACGAGTTTCTTCCTTCCGCTTTTCGTCGTGATGAATCTTAAGAACTCGCCGTGTCGCGCTTACGTGGTAACGAATATAAAAAGAATACATATAAAATTATGAACAAAGATTTATTGTATATGAAGCTACTGTGATGTTACTGTTGAATATAAAAAAATATATATATCTATACATATATACATATATATATATATATATATATAAAGATGCTGTATTTAAAATCGTGTCTAAAGATAGTTCTTTTATCTCCTCGCTCACCGAAACAAAGTCTGTCGCGAATCTGTAGAAAGTGAAATTGTAATTATATTCGTTACGAAGCAAACATTTTTTAAAGACGACAACGTGACTGATCTATTATGTAATATAGGCAATAAAATGTATTGTGCTAGATCTTCTCTATATGTGTATTCGTGTAAACCTCAAGTGCAAGCTAACGGAATGCAAGTGATTGTAGAATTAGTGCTTGTTTTTTCTTCATTTCACTTGATATACGTTATTAGACTTTAACACTTGTGTGTTATATTTTTGTGTGTTATATTTTGTGTGTTATATTTTTTTCCTATAGAACTTTATGCACTGTAAATTAATATTTATAATCGCGAAGAAATCGAAAGCACAAGAGCTAAACGAAATTTGATAACTTCTTTTTATGTTTATTCTTTAAAGCATGACATAACATTTTTAAATTGGTTGTTAAATTAGAGTAGAAAAAGAAGATAAAATAAATATTAATTGTCATGTCATAAAATAAAATTTATCGCCAAGAAAAATTTATATTGAAATTTTATATACATTAAAATATAAAAAATCTAATAAATTGTATTCTATCTTTATTAATCGAAAGTAAAAGTTCATAAAAACGTAAAATTTATATGTACATATAATCTGTAAGATTTTATAAACGCAATATGATCCAAATTTTGTGAGAATATTTTCCTTATTGAAAGATTTCATACTAATATTAATTCATTTAATTATAAAAAATATACCACAATGACTCTCGAAATTGTACAAATCGAAACATTAAAATAAACGATCAGTAAGAGAACATTGTTAATATCGTTATTTACAACACGATTGCCAGATCGATTAGCAAAGAGCAATAAAAAAATGCCATACAAATACATGTCCAAAATCTTGTCAAATATCGGGAATCACATATAAGTCATAAAGATTAGAATTAGTTTTTTTGTAATAGACAACATAACGACGGAAACAGTCGAGTAAAAGAGCACAAGTGACGAGTCAAAAAATTAAAATGAGTGAGCATTTAGCAACGTCTTCTTTCATTGTTGATCGTCATCACATGAACACATAAAATTTAATGATCATGTTTGTATACCTATGTGCTATGTTTTTATAATTCCGAATTTTCCGAATATTTTTTATTCCTTCGTTGAAGATAGTTCAAGGAAGAGCCGAAATGTTCGAATTATATCGACGAATAAAATAAACTTAATAAAATCTTTGAATACATAAGTTATTTTTAAAAAAAACACATGCGCACTTGATCCTTATTAACCATTTAATGTTTCGATTTGTATATTATTTATATGGTATTAATAATACATGATATGTTAAAGCTATGGAATATTAAATTCGATGTAAAATATTCTCATCAACATTAGAAAAATTAGCGAATCGAGCTGAAATTTATTTTACATTGGTAACTATAAATTTTCTGTTACAGAACGAAAATCAATCTCAATCTACATGGAAGGCGCTCACAAACTTATAATACTATTTATGAAAGATATACAAATTTAATTTTTGGCCTGTAATAAAGTCACTAATGAAAAATAAATATCGGACGGCATTCAATAATCTTAATCAGGAATTTAAAAATTATTTACATTCAATCTTTTTACGACTTTAAATTATATTTTTGGATAGTATTAATCTCTGTATCACTGTTTATCTGTTCCCGTTTAAAATCTTCATTTTAAATTTAAGCATAGTCCTCAAAATAAAATTGCCCAACGCAGTCCCTATACCTTTGCGTATTCATAAATACATTAACGCGCTATATACTCAAATATATTCGCGCTAATTTTATGACTACTTGTAACTATCTAACAAGTAAGTCATCTCTATGTCAAAAAAATATACAATAAATAACAACATGAAAAAGTGTGTGGATATTTACAAATACATGATAAATACGATGCACATTTTCATTTATCTCTATGCTAAAAATCGGATAAATAGAAATTTGATGATTAGATCTATACAAATAGTTTTCTATAAAATTTAAATGCGTTTGAGCCGTAAGGGAATTGTAAGTATGTTATAAAATCACATTTATTTACAATTCTACAAGAATGGTAGATTATCTGTACAAATTTGACCACTGTATAATGACAGCCGTTTGTGAATCTTTAAAAAAATTCTGATTATACTAAAACATTGCATCTTTAAGATATATATTTGTTACAGCAAATATTTTGTCAGGTAAAATTTGCGAGCACTCGCGTAATATCTTAACCCTCTATAACCGAGATCTGCGTGTATCGACAAGTTTTCTAAAGCATTGCAATAAGCGTACGTAACGCTAGATACAGTCTCATTAAAACGCTAGACCATCGAGGTCAAAAATTAGTACATATATGTACAATTTTTGTACATCTGTTAATTATAATCGTTTTTAGAATGCCTGAAAAGTAATTTCAGGATAAATCAGCATCATTTTATTGTCAACTCGAGGCTAACTTCACCATTTGGCTCTAACACTCCAGTCTTTTGGTGTCCAATGCAAACATTTAGGATCTATTCTGATCTGTCTCTTTTCCATCGCACTTGCGTGTTGTTCGATAATTTCCCTGCGAATAAAAATATGCATCAGTACGAAGGTGTCACCAAATTCGAAACTGTTAGATAATTTCTTTTTAACTTGACTGCAAATTACCTATTTAACGTCACGATATATTGCCCCTTGTAATAATTAATGAGATTCAGATTTTGCAGAGTCGATATCACATCCTCTTTCTTGATCGACGTTAACTCAGAAATCTCGCTTATTGTAATTTGTGGCTTCTCATTTTCCACCATGGGCTTTACGTTCAGTAAAATATCGAGTATTGTGTGAGCCCAATAACTTCGGTATGAAAGTAAACCCAAATCGGACAGCGGCTTTTCAGGGGAGCCGGTTTTTCCTTCAAATTTTGATAATTCATATGAAAATTCTATCAGGAGTTTGCCGTAACCTCTTCTCTGATATGGTGGCAGTGTAAGAATACATGCTACATTATGATCCTCTGTTGATTCCTTTTCTTTCGAGAAGTAACCAACTATATGAAACCCTCTGCTATCAAAGTCCGTCATCACATAGAACAAAAAAGGATCTGTGTCATAGTAAAGGGTTTTGTGATCTAAAAATAGCTTTGCTAATAGACAAAGATTTTGTGCATAATTTTTGTTCTTGCGGCCGTCGATCTCAAAAAACGATATAGATCCCTTCCTATATATTTCATTCCCAGGTGGATGACGTAAATTGCACTTAACTAAATGTCTTTCCAAACACTTTCGACTCTTCCTGTATTTTAGGCAGAATTCACAGATATATATACAAGTTAAATTCACCATTTCCTGTGGATATGGACTAAAATACCAAGGCTTTATTCTATGGCGGCCTAGTTCGATTAGTTCTACGTTTTTCATTCTCGTAACTACATCATCATGATGATGTGCAACCAGAGAACCAGTGGGTCTGGGACCAGGCGTTTGTGGTGGGCCATCCTGAGAATCTTCATTCTCTAGAAACGTTGCTTTTCTTTTTCTAGACATTTTCTTTTGTAGTGCCGCTTGCAGCACGGCATTACCATTAACCGGTTCATTGCTAACACTACTGGGACTAGGAGGTCTACTAGCAGCCTGCTTTTTTGGTGTTGCCGCGCCAGTCCCTGGTGTTGTTCCCTCTCGACGAGGATACTGGACTTTTCTAGTGTCCAGGGAATCTTCCATAACCCATTCATCCAGTCGTTTGTTGACTGAAATAGCGGAATTTTGATAACATTGTTCATTTATCATTTGGAATGGTTATACTTAGATATTAAACAGTTTACTTACAGTCCACATAATGAACATAATAGCACTTGACACCTTGTACTTCCTTAACACTGATGATTTCAGCAAGTGCTATAGAAAGGGTAAGAAAATTTTTGTTTAAACTGACGAAAGCTCGATAAGCTCATTATTATTTATTATTATTAATTTGTTTATGTATATGCAAATTTATTAATTACAAATAAAATTGTTATGTTTATTTATAATATACGTCTTTAATTTTTTAATTATAAATTATTTAATATCTAAAAAAAATATTTGTTCATATTTTTATCAATATTTATCAAAAAATTTTAAATATACATCAAGATATATATTAAAATCATTCATAAAACACTAAAAATTAATACATATTTATAGATATGAAAATATAGATGTAATTAAAATATTTTATTATATAATTCTAAATATAATGTAGTTACAAATTTCTGTGAAAACAAGATGATTGAATTTAAACATTATATACAGATATGTTATCCAAGGCTACATTCAGAAAATAAAATGTTTATGCAATTGTTAAATAAATGCTTATTATTCTTGATATATTCTTTTAGATTTAACATGGATCTAAAGGTCCACCCTAATTACAGACTATAGAAACAGAGCGCTCACTCAACCATTGTATTTTTTGAACGCAAATTAAATAATTAAATATGATATATAAAACAGAATCAATCTTATAAAAAATATATATACTGATAAATATGTATCAAAAGTTTGTTATAAGATAAATTAGGATAAAGGATAAATAACAATTTGCTTTAAAAATTTCCATTAAAAGTATTTTTTGACAAAAGTATATATAAAGTATATATATATATATATATATATATCCACAATAATATAGCTCAAAATCAATCTCACCGATATGATCACGCTATAGTACACAGTGATAGATCATAGTGTTAGATCATTCCAGAGTATTTTAGAGTATTCTAGAGAGAAAGTTGCGTTACTTCGTAACGAAACGTATTTTTGAGATCAACGATGAAGTGCGCATATATAATCTACTTACGCCAGTCGTCCGTGCCATGCATTCTAACCGGCAAACGGCAGCCTTCCACCAGTGAATTCTGAAAGTGAGGTTAGGTCAATATCGGATACGTTCGTACGCACGTTGCGCGCGTTCTCCAGCGATCTGCCGTCATTCCTACATACGACATATCGTGATACCTACCACTGAGTCGCATATTGTCTCGCGTTCGTCGTGTTCCTCGATCATTTCAATCTAAAATTCGATTTAACCCGTTGCCAAAACACGATTTTGTTTTGAAGCTTTCACAGCACTGACGCGAGCGCCGCTCGAGTGGAGCTATCTAAGTGTCGTTGAATCGAAGGATAAAAGCAGGAATATCTGATGCCTGTTTTTATATACCTTCTGTAGGAGGCAAATCTCACGTGCAAATATGCAATAGAAAACCGATCACATTTAATTATATTCTGTTATTTCTGATGAAATGCGGATGGTTGAATATAGCCAATTTGTAATATATACTCTTTTAAAGGAATATATGATCGTCTGCAATTGACTACTCATATCCCGAAATATACTAAAAAATTATCGACTCTAATATTTTTCGGATGTAATCTAAATGTAATTTAAATAGCCTTGATAAAAAGAATGTAAGAAATTATGAATGAAGAAGAGAAAGATATATTATTATGATAAACTTATTATGATAAACTTTAATACAAATTATTGTATAAAATGAATTGTATGAAAATTAAATTTGAGAATTTAAAAAATTTGTTTCTTCACATCAACTTCGAATCATTACATCTTACATGGAATTCGACCAACCATTAATAATATTTTTTGAAATAAAAGAAGAATATATCGACAGATATAACAAGGTCTGTAGAGTTCCGAATGATGATTATACATTTAGATGGCACTTTACTCGCACTGGACTACAAAAAAATCTGTGATCTTAGGAGATATGCAGAATTTAGATTTTTAAAAATTACTATTAATTATATTTACACAATTATTTACACAATTATATTGTAATTCTAGACGTTTATCCATTTTTACATTATATTGAGTCTAATAACGCCGATTTTTAATGCAGTATATAAAATAAATAGTGTTCATAAAATATATATTGGACATGTCTTATCTTGAAGAAGTTTACAATACATTTGAGTTTATTGCATTTAATATTTTTACAATTTTTTTTTAATACAATATAATAATATAGGTGTATTGAAACTGTGCGATGTCTTTGCAGCATTGCACTGCTATTTAAAACGAACTGTAACATTGATGTAATTTATTCATTAACACGAATTGTCACTAATTATCCATGTAATTACACGTAGCTAAACAAGATATTAATAATAACAAATACAAATAAAATCATAATGTATAAGAGATATATTGATCATCAAGTAGAAATAAATAATCATAAAATCTTAATAATGTAATTACTAATCAAATACATAGTTATTTTAATCTTATTATGAAATTTTTTTTAAATAATAAAACAATATCATTTTTTATAATCATACTATCATTCTAAAAGTTTAGATTAATTTTATTAAGAATTAATAAAAATTAATTACGGTGAAGAAATTGTTATGTTCCGGTCCATCTAATTTTGGAAAGCATCATGATGTAGGTAGATCTGTAACAAATCAATATATGGAAACACATAAATAAATGAAATGACGCCGTACGGTTGTTATTATGGAGTAGCGGCGATGAATGAGACAGCGTACGCCACGTAATTAAATACAGGGAGGCTAAACTTGACATGGCGAATATTGGGTGGGAATACACGAAAATTAAGTCATGCGATCCACATCGCGGTTTCCCATTCTTGTGCGTGGAATTCATTCTGGAAATATGTGAACGCAACGCGACATACATCCGCGCAATATATTATTGCTGCTTATACAGTTATTAACATCACTATTACCATCTAGTCATGGTATGTTACATATAGAAGCTATTCCTGTTTCAATTGCTGAAAATGAAAATAATGGAATTTGTCTGATTTGAATCTAACCTTGTGAATGAACATTATTTTGTAATGAGCGTTATTTTTAAATTTGACTATATATAAAGGAAATAATATATCTTTATAAACATATATAATTTATCCATTTATTTGCATTTTTTTTTATAAACAAACGTATCATCAGAGATATGCACTAAAAATATTAAATTTATTTGTAATACAATGAATTAA